AACCCAGCTGAAAGCCTAGGACTGGGGTGACGGCCCGCGTGCCCACAGAGAGGGCTCTGAGTGCCGCCTCTGGCACCCGTGCCATAGGTTCACCACCACTGTTCTAGATGGCAGATGTCAACTACTTCCAAGTTCTTTTCACCAACTTCCCTGCCCTAAGCTGGTATCTTTCAGAAAGAATAAATACTGCATTCTTTCTTATTATTAGCCATCAGTCAGATTTAGCAGGAGTCTGATTATATCATAACCAGTCTGTGAACTTGTAAAGCATAAGGATATGTAACTATCCAAATTGGTTCCTACAAAATGTGGCCATAACTTATTTGTAATCCATCAAGTGTCTATGTATGTGTGTGCATATGCCTTCATGTTGACTCCAGGCAATTGCTTGGACTGGTCCTTGCAGTTTTCTTGGTATGATTTTTGGAAGTGGTTTACCATTGCCTTCAAGTCATAAAAAGGGAAGTTTTTTTAAGCTAAAAGTGAACAGAAGAAGTTATGATTCAGTGTAATGTTTGTATCAAACCAGTGGAGCCAAGAATATAACTGTCACATGTTAGATAGATATGAAGAACAAAAGTTAGTATTCAGAATTTTTTTAAAAAACCTTTTTTCTCTCTAAATGAATCTAGAAAATTACAGAAATGTAAGGTGTGATGGTAGCAGCTATTTATGTGAGGACCATCTTTTCACATATTATTTGAAAGCATTCAGTCACATCATTAATGCAGTGAATCCACTCTAGTTATTTTTATATGAACTGTGTACTCTGCATTTAAATCCAAAGAACTTTACCACTGTAATCTAAACTTTATGTTGGAATATTCATGAGCAGGAAGAGTCATGTGGTAACTCAGTCAGCCAATGTGAGTAAAGTGCTACTGAGTCTGTGCAAAAGGGTATTGAGTTGGAGCTGGATTTTGTTTGTTTCAGTTCCAATCTCAGGTCTGTCTCTTCTGTAAGAAGTCTTCATTTATGCTATGTTGCTATGAAGAAGAATGTATGGTATTGTAAATATTTTTATATGAATATAAAGAAGTTATTTGAATCAGCTAAATGCAGTCAATTGTGAGAGCTTCTGATTTATTTTCACCAACAGAGAAATTAAATTCTCTAACAGGTTATGGGCCCAGAACTTACTAAGGACTGCATTATAATTTAAAGCTGGAAGAAATTGCCTGTGTTTAGAAAGTATAAGAACAAGGCAGAATTAGCAGAATGGCTGCAATGGAATTTAAGGAAAGCTCTGTGCCTTGTTTAGGCCAAAAGAATTACATTATATGGGCTGCTAAGATGGAATGTTTGCTGAAAGCAAAAGAGCTGTGGTATATTGTAGAAAATCCCCCACAAGTGTTTGCAGCTGTTGATCAGAAAAGCCATGATCAAGCCATGGCTTATCTCATCTTGAATTTAGATGATGAACAATTTCTAAATGTTGCAAATCTAAAAACTGCAAAGGAAATTTGGCTGAAGTTGAGAGCTGTGCACGTGAATGTTTCTGCATGCAATATAATGCAATTGTCAAGAAAACTTTACAGAGCCTGTTTGCAACCAGGTGAATCTGTGGAACAGCATTTAAATAAAATGCAAAGTTTATTTTTGGACTTAGAACAACGTGGGATTAAATTCCCTGAGTCCCAGAAGGTTTTATTGGTGTTGAACAGTTTAGATAAAACCTGGGACATAGTTTCTGCAATATTTGAATGCAAAGAAGAGAAAGACTTAAATTTTGAGGCTTTAAAGGCATGTTTGCTTAATGAAGAAGAGAAGCACAATTTTAGGAACAGCCAGGAGGAGGAGAAATTCCTGAGGAGGGGGTCCAGACTGCAAGTCTCCAGAGGAGAAGGAACAAAGAGCAGATGGGACCAAATTGCAACAAAAGAGAGATTTTGCAAGCAGAAAGCTTTGCAAGAAAAGAATTGCTACATTTGTGGAGCGAGCACACATCTGAAAAGGAACTGTTTGCAGAGGAACAATTTGCAGCAAAAGACATTTATGCATGCAAAGAAGACTAATTTGCAAAAGGAACATTTTGGTGTTGCAAAAGTTTGCTATAGCAACAACAGAGACAAGTGGCTAATAGATAGTGGTGCAAGTCAAACAATTGTTAATGACTCTGAATTATTTTGCAGGTTTGTTCCATAGCACAAGAAGCTGTGGCTTTGGCAAATGGCCAGAAAGCAAAAGTCATTGGAAGAGGCGATGTAAAAATTCCATATTTGGAATCAAAGTTTGCCAATGTGCTTTGTGTACCTGAGATGGAACATAATTTGTTAAGTGTGTCTAATTTAGACAAACAAGGTTTTGAGACTATTTTTGTAAATGGGAAGTGTCTCATCAAAAGGAATTGGAATATTTGTGCAGAAGGCATAAAGGAAGATAATCTATATGTATTGCAGGGACAAAAGGTTCAATGTTCCCATATATTTAAGAATGTTGCAGAGCATGATTCATGCGTTCATCTTCTACATAGAAGATTTGGCCATGCAAGCTTTAAAGTTTTGCAGCAAATGCAAGACTTTGCAGAAGGGCTAAATTTGAAGGGATGCAAAACATATTTGGACTGTGCAGTATGCAAAGCATCGAAGTCAAAGGCATTCCCAGTTAGTAAATATAGCACAAGACAAACAAAAAGAGCTCTAGAGCTGGTCCATGCAAATCTGGTGGGACCTATGCAAGCCAGTTTGGGAGGAGCAAAATATGCACTGGTAATTGTTGATGATTATAGCAGGTATTCGTTTTGCTACTTGCTTAGAGATAAGACAGAGGTGCTACAACAATTCAAACAGTGGGTAAGTTTTGTAGAGAGAAGGTACAGACAACAAGTGTGTCAGTTGCAAACTGACAGAGGTACTGANTAGAGGATTCTGGTATGAGCAGGTCATATTGGGGAGAAGCCATATTGACTGCCAATTATATAGTTAACAGGCTGTGGAGTTCCTCCATTAATAATACTCCATATGCCATTCTATATGGGAGAAAGCCATCACTGGCACATTTGAGAATTTTTGGAAGTACTGCATGGGTACATATTCCGAAAGCAATCAGAAGAAAGGGGCAGCAAAAGGCAAGAAAGCTCAGGTTTGTGGGCTATGAGCCAGGGTCAAAAGGATATCGCTTTAGCGATGGAAGTAAAAGAATTGTAATTTCAAGATCTGCTGATTTTGCAGAACAAAATTGGGACAGAATTAATGCAAATTCTGGGTATGTCTCACTTAATGACGGTGATCTGTTTAGTGACAACTCATCTAATGATGGAAAAATGATTATTGAAGATGTCAATGTTCAGGGAGGAGAGGCTGAACAAGAAATGAAGCCAGAAAGACTTGAGACACAGGAGCAGTTAATACCACGTAGGTCAGAGCGATGTAATAAAGGAATTCCGCCTGACAGGTATTCTGCCAGCAAGGTAAAGGTTTGCAATGTGTGGTATGAACCAAGAAGTTATAAAGAGGTGTTGGCATTACCAAAGGTTGAACAAGAAAGATGGAAGGAGGCCATGGATAAAGAGATGATATCCATGGGAGACCATGAAGTATTTAAATCAGTGACTTTGCCACAGGGAACCAAAACTGTGGGTTGTAAATGGGTATATAAGAAAAAGGTATTGCCAAATAATGATATACAGTATAAGGCCAGGTTAGTGGCACAAGGTTTTTCACAATTAAAAAATGTGCACTACGATGAAGTATTTGCGCCAACTGTGAAAAGTGAGAATATAAGATTAGCACGCGTTGGCAGCGGCATATAACCATAAATTTGGGTCTTCAAATACAGATTACTGAGGAATTGAAGTTAAAGTGTTATGTCGATAGTGACTATGCAAATGACATAAACACAAGGAAATCAAATTCTGGGATTATAATATTGTTTGGAGGGACTCTGATTGGATGGAAATCCAGAAAACAAACAACTGCTGCTATTTCAACAGAGGAAGCAGAGTTTATTGCTTTATCTGAATTGTGTTCTGAAGTAACATGGTATGTACAGTTGTTGCAAGGTTTAAATATTAATGTAAGAGAATCTGTAAAGGTATTTGAAGACAATGCTGCCTGTATAAAAATGGCAACTGGTGACAGGGTGAAGAACAGAAGTAAACATGTAGACATTAAATATTGTAATGTCAGGGAAGCTGTAAAAGGAAAATTGATTAGTTTACATCATTGTTCTTCTGAGGATAATTTGGCAGACATGATGACTAAACCATTGGGTGGTGTTCACTATGGAAAATGTATTGAGTCAATAGGTCTGATGTCTCTTCCTGTCATGAAGGGAGGAGTGTTGGAATATTCATGAGCAGGAAGAGTCATGTGGTAACTCAGTCAGCCAATGTGAGTAAAGTGCTACTGAGTCTGTGCAAAAGGGTATTGAGTTGGAGCTGGATTTTGTTTGTTTCAGTCTCAGGTCTGTCTCTGCTGTAAGAAGTCTTCATTTATGCTATGTTGCTATGAAGAAGAATGTATGGTATTGTAAATATTTTATATGAATATAAAGAAGTTATTTGAATCAGCTAAATGCAGTCAACTGTGAGAGCTTCTGATTTATTTTCACCAACAGAGAAATTAAATTCTCTAACACTTTACTTTGCTGTTTAGTGTCTTTTAGCTTAGAATTAAAACAATCAGGTCTTCTGAAATATTAGCCACCTGGAGTCATATATTTGAGATGGGAGGCTATGTAAATCAAATAAATAAATAAAATACAACATGGATAATATTTCATGTTTTACTGTTGCTTGAAACAAATCTTACTCCAGTATGAATATGAATAAATATAGTTTCTATATATTAAATATTAGGACTGATTTCTACAACTCTTCTAGGAATATGTTTATCATTTTGATTTCAGTGATAAATAAGTTGCTGGTGGAGCCTGGCTTTATTATATGCAGTATTTTAGTAGAAATTGAAATAGATTTATAGGCACATATTTAATTTTTTATGTGTTTGGTTTGTCCAGAGTATAAATTATACAAAAAATGTTTTTCTTTCTTTCTTAAGGTCATTGATATGCCTGAACATAATCCTGGTGACATGGGAGGAACAATGAGACTAGGGAAAAGAAAAACTATCTTTAAGACAAAAGACTCTTTGTTAAGTAAGTCATGGCATCTTTGGTTAGATCTTTTGCTTTTGTGTTCAAACCATATAACAGTATCTTGTTCAAATATATATACTATTTTAAGAGTAACATTAATTAGATTTAATATCTTGTCTTTGTCTTAAATCCTAATTATAACTCTTGTTAAGCTTCTGCTTTCAGAAATCATTAGAAAACCTTAGGAGATATCGCAGGATGAAGTTGTCCTTCATATTAGGATTCTGAAGGATGTAATTACTACCTATTTCTGGTACCTTCTTCAAAAGATTAGATGTGAGTCTGTGTTAGAAGCAGAATCTTGATCATTATCATCATTCAAGGAGCAAAACAAAATGAAGCATTTCTCTCACTTCTTGATTTTATTTATTTAACTTGCAAGAGGCAGCAGGAACAAGGTGCTTCTTTTCTGACATATAATTGATCAAGGACAAACATCCCTCCTATCAAAAAGCAGGATGCTGAAAGGAAGGGATCAATAGCATGAGAAGAATTGGGTTCATGATTAAGCAAAGCCAAAATTGATTTCCTGCAACAGAGTTTAAACATCTCTGCTTGGAGTCTATAACCATGTGGGGAGTTGTTTTGGACAACAGTCACTCATTTTCAACTCTTCCTTTCAGGAACGGCTGTTGGGAAGTTGGTAGAGAGGCATCAGTTTGAAATTGTTCTGCTTCTTCCTAAGTAGGTGGTAAATACTTTGAGCTTTCCTATTTTGGCTGCCCCAGCTTTGACCCTTCCCCATTCTTTTTAAAATTTACATTGAGAAGGACCTTTGTCAGTTGGTGGTGAGGTATCATCAGAGTGCTAAGTATGTAATTATACAGATAGTCCTCAACTTAAGACCACAATTGGGCCTGGAATTTTGGTCACTAAGCAATTTTGTTGTAAAGTGAGATGTCACATGTGTTCCTAGTGACAGCAATTCCAGTAATCCACATTGTTAACCAAATTGTATTGATCATTAGCTAAAGATCCATTCTACCCCAAGACATTTCAGACTTGATCCCTCCCAGCCCTGAGCCTCAGGAAGATGAGTGACTCCCTCCAACTTCCCCCATCTATCTATTTCCTCACCCATCTTTGCCCATTGGGCCACCTGGTACCCTGCCTTATAGAGTGGCAAGCAATCCTAGAACCACATGTCCACTCCCAGTCGCCTTCACTACCTTGCACTCCATAAATTCCCCTTGCTTTTTAGGGAATGGGAGTCATAGCTCCTCATTTTGTGATAGAAAATGCAGTTTTATTCTATAGAAATTCTGTTTTATTCTAAAGAAATTGTAGCAGAAGATTATTATATAGCCATACAGATTGGTAGCAGAGGATGGATACATAGCCATAGAGATCAAATGAAGTGTACAGTGTATAATCATCATGGGCCTTGGTGCTTAAAGGTTTTTAACTGTCTTTTTAACTGTCACAGGAAACTCTCCTCAAACCATAGATTATAACCATAAATGTAAACACTGCCATCAACTGGCTGAATAATTCTGTAGTTGTTGCAATGCAAAATACATTCTAACATGTATTCCAACACCCCACTCAACAACTACTCCTTATAATAGTCTCATTTCTGATCTTAGTTCTGCTTCCTGTTTCTTATGATTCTTCTTGTTCTTTTTCTTCCTCTTCTTGCTGTCCTGGCTGTCCATAGAGCTGCTGCTGCAGCTTCAGCCTTGGCTCTCCAAACAGTTGACACTGTAGCTGCTGTGGCTCTGATTCTGGCTCCAACTGGTCTGGGGGACCAGGCCGGCGGCTGCAGTCTCTTTTAGTTTCTCTTTCCCGTCTCTGGGTTTTAATGCTTTGCAAGCAACGTAGGACAGATGTTTGGCTGGGATACCTTTATTGTTTCTGGTTATCTCCTGATTGAAACCTCATGTGGCCTGGTTTCTTCTTTTATTCCACTTGGATAGATTTTCCCAGTTAATTTCTTTTTTTAAAAAGTTTTTTATTTATAATACAGTTAAAACAAAAATGGACATAATGTGACATTCCAGAATAAATATTCCTAACAATTTGTTCCTCTTAATACATATAATTAATACATCATTCTTAATCTCTAAATAAACTTATTCTTCTATACAATACAATTATATATACAGTTATATGTATTTCTGTCTTAACACTAGCTTGAAGCCCAAGCAGTTCTCCTTAATTCATACCAGTAATAAAATTTGTCCCAGATTTCAAAGTAGTCTGATTCTGTCTTATCCTTCATTTCCATTGTGAGCCTATCCATTTCAGCACATGATAAAATTTTATATAAAATCTCTTTTTCTGTTGGAATTCCTTTATTCCTCCAGTTTTGAGCGTATACCAATCTAGCAGCCGTGAGAATGTGTAACATCAAATAGAATACCCCTTTGTCATATTTCTGCGTGGTTATGCCTAGTAAAAAGAGTTCTGGTTTTAACTCTACCACTAGCATTAAAATTTCTTCCAGCCATTTTTTAACCTTATTCCAAAAATCACGGGCTTGTGGGCACTCCCACCACATATGATAGTATGTCCCAGTTGCCAATTTACATTTCCAACATTTGGAAGAAGCATTTGAACCCATTCTAGCTAATCTTATGAGTGGGAGATGCCATTTATAGAACATTTTGTAGAGATTTTCTTTGTAGGAGGTGGCCAGAGTGAGCTTCCTGTTTCTTGCCTATAGTTCTTGCCAGATGTGCAGATCAAAGTTGAGATCAAAATCCCTACTCCACTTTAACATGGTCTCTTTTACCTGTTCCTCATACATTGCCTGGTCTAACAAATAATGATATAGTTTTTTAATCATTTTATCCTCCGTACCTAATAATATTTTATCCAGCCCTATCGGTTCTAATTTTATGCCTAACTCTTTTTTATCTTTCCAATATCTCGCCTGTAATTGAAGGTATGCCCACCATTCTAATTCTATCCCTTCGTCTTGAAGAATTTTCCTGGGTTTCAATTCCCCTCTCTTGTCTGGAACATTTTTATATGTTATAATCTTTCCTAGTTGGATAAACTTTGGATGTACATGCATTTCTAACGATGAGATCCAACTAGGGACTTGAGTATAATTTGGTTGCCAGATTTTAACCCATACAACAATTAGAGCTTGTCTGATATAATGCCTTCGGAAATATTTGTGTGTCTTATATTTATGATCCCATAACATAGCGTGCCATCCTATTTGTAAGTATGACCTTCCAGACATAATAATCTCCTGTTCTTTAGTAATATCCAATCCCTTACCCATAATAATACTATGGCCTGATAATATTTTTCCAGGTCAGGGAGGCCAAATCCCCCCCCTTTCCTTTGAATCCTGCAGTAATTTTAATTTAATCCTTGCTCTTTTTCCTCGCCAGATGAATTTGAGTATAATTTTGTTAAGGTTTTGAAAAAATTTCTTGTCCAATTTTATGGGTATACATTGGAACAAAAATAAAATTCTCGATAACACATTCATTTTAATTACCGCAATTCTGCCCATAAGGGAGAGCTGCAGGTTGGTCCAAATATCTAAATCCTTCGTAATCTGTTCAATTAACTTATCATAGTTATCTCTTTTGAGTGTAACGCATCTAGCAGTTAGTTGTATCCCTAGATATCTTATTTTGTTCGTGATTTGAATACTTATTCTGTCAACCAATTCTTTTTCTGTATTTTAGTCAGTTAATTTCTTTATTATATCAGGACTTCTATGTTCAAGTTGTCTGATTGCAGTTCAGCTGATACAGTTTATTTGTAATTTTAGCCTTTGCAAGTAGGATATCCCCTATTGTGATGATACAACTGTCCCCTTTAAAGATCACTACATTGCCTTGTTTTGTGAGCTTCTTCACTGACAAAAGATTAGTTTCAAGAGCAGGGATATACAATACATTTTTCACAAATATTTTTCTGGCGACACTGTGAGAAATAGGACAGTAAACAAAACACTCTCAAATTCCTTCTAGTTCTATTATTTATCCACTAGTTGTGGTGATTTTTTTTCTGCTTTACTCTGGTCAAGGTGAGTAAAAAAAATTCTGTCATTTGTCATGTGACTCATAACTCCTGAATCAACTTTGAATGCTTTCAAAGATGAGATGCAACTTTTGGATTGAAAAATATATTAATTATCTGAGGCAAAATCAGTTTCTTCCTTCACATTTTTAGCCTTTTGTAGTTTTTGCATTCTAGCTTTCCAGATTCTGCAATCTGCTTTTAAATGACTCCTTTTCTTGCACACAAAGCATTCATGTGTTTCTTGCTTAATGTAACTGTTTTTATTCCTATTTTTCATCTTTGAAAAAGACTCTGTGACAGAAGCACCATCACTATTAATGCTTTCTGTTTTACACTTATACTCATCCATAAGCTTGCCCTTAACATATTCCAGTGTTAGCTCATTATCTAGACGTCCATCAAGTGCAGTGACAAGCATTTCATAACTTTCTGGTAAACCACTCATCTGAAGGATGTTCTGGCCTAAGTTCATTTATACATTTCCACATACCTGATGAGCTGTCTGCTAAAATGAAGTAAGGCTATTGCATGCACTTGAAAGAAAACTGGGATGCCTGTAATTGTGGAGTCTGTCTGGCAAGAACAAAGAATGTTTCTTCACAGAGAATATGCACATGTAACACTTGTATCAATTCTAGATGGTTAGAGGACTGATAACAGTAACAAAGAGTTAGACATCCTGCATACCTCAGTTAGACGTTAGGAATAGAGATGGCCTGGAGCAAATAGAATGTGTATTAGATGAGGCGCCTTATCCCGCCTTCCGATTAGTGAAAATGTATAAGGGTTTCTTAATTCTATTGTTCGATGTTCTTTGGCATTTTCTAGCCAGGACTCCTTTTCTTGGAGCGCTTGAACTAAAGGAAACAAAACCTGCACCTCATGTTTGATGTTCTTCATCAGCTTGAATTACCCTGTTCTGTGTTGAATATATTTCTTCTCTAATCTGGACTTATACTGGATTTATACTGGGTTCATCTCTGAGTTTATCTCTGGTTTATCTCTGGGTTTATACACCCTCACACTGGACCCATAACCTGTTAAGAAAATTCTGTTTTATTCTATAGAAATTGTAGCAGAGGATTAATATATAGCCATACGGATTGGTAGCAGAGGATGGTTACATAGCTATACAGATCAAATGAAGTGTACATTGTATAGTCACCATGGGCCTTGCTGCATAACAATTTCTCAACTGTCACATGAAACTCCTCAAAACAAAAGGAACAATAGAGTATAACAATAGATGCAAACTAAACACTGCCATCTTACTGGCTGAATAATTCTGTAGTTGTTGCAATACAAAATACATTCTAACATGTATTCCAACATTTTGGAATAAGAGGTCCAGGATGTTCAGAAGCGTTAGGTTAGATAGGATACAAATAGCTGTATAAACATGAAAATGAATAAAATCATTGTGAAGAACATATTCCATATGTCCAATTATTCCATATTTACATTTAATATGAACTTGAATTGAATAAAATGTATTTGCTAGTCTGTAACCTCTTTAGAACTGTCTGTTTTTATTGTCTCCTTAAAATGAGGACTTTGCACAGTTTGAACCAAGCAGGAGTCAGAAAAAAATGTCTGGGTTATAAAAATTAGATTTACCAACATAGACCAGTGATCCAAAATACATTACAGTCTGATTTATTTTTCAACTGACCTCCTTTATATTTTTCCTCTAAACTTTCTAGGTCCTTTAGGAATCAAGCATAGTTTGTACTTTATGATTGTTGCTATATTACATATTTGTTCAAATATTTCCTGTTCTTGAACAAAGCTACATTAACATGAAATCTGATTTCATAAAGAAATCTACCAACATTATAGTTCAATAAATATAACATGAATCATTCAAGTTATGAACTTGGCAAATGCCAAACCTATTAACATTCTTCTTAATGATTATTGAAGAAACCATAATTAACTGGGTCATTAAGCCATATATGTGATTTAGAATCTATAAGGATTACATTTGCACAGCATGCTAAATAAAATAAACAATCTTTATCTGATGATTCATCGGTTCACCTAATTTAGGATTAGTTTCATTGGCTGATTGTAGCTTTTCAAAAGACTGATTTAGAAACCTTTCCTAATTCTTGTACCTTGTAATGGGGTTGTTAGGTGGTGCCCAGACTGCTTATGGTTGCCATGGCATGAAGCTTGCCAAGGGCATTTCCTCACAATGGTCCGTTTATATCATGGCATCAATAGCTTACATGCCTTCAACTTGGGGCACCAATATAATTTACACAAGGCTAGGAAGTTAGGTGAGCTTTGCTTGTAATGAGACTTTATTTGGGGGGTTGTTGTTTGAACCAGGGAATCATGGTTTATATGTTGTGGGGTGTTTTTAATTTTTGTATGCTACCCATGCTCACTGCAGAGTTGGGCAGCTCTATAAATAAACAAAAAAATAAATTGCTTTTCCAGAGCAGAGCTTGAACAAATGCTTGTCAACTTGAGAAAAATTAGAGAGGAAGGACTGTTCTGCATAACTTGTATGACTGCTATAATAGCTACTATGCTGGGGAAATAAATACCAAGTGCAAAAAAATACAATTGATATGAGCTATTTTGCAATAGTTAATAGATGGGTCTATCATGTACTAGAAAGAGGGTGAAACAAGTGGAAAGAAATGGTTATTGAGCTTGACTCCTACTTTCTGCTCTGACTAATAGTATTTATAGAACATTCTTTTTTTTTCTCCATCAGACTTTCTATTCATATCACATTTGCAGCTCCCTATATATGAGCAGCTGAATTACGGGAATACTAATTATATAGAAGATTTATTTTATTTATTAAACAAATTTATATGGCCACCCACTTTCACATGGTGATTTTAGCAGAGATACAGAATAGGGATCAATATTGCCATAAAAGTATCTGATTTGCCTTCTGGACTAGCACTAGGTCAGGAAGAACTAACTAGTACAATGCACTATTACACTGTATATTCTGTAATAGAATATATTCTGTACAGTATGTCCTTCACTGCTTTATAAAGAATGTGTATTTTATTACCTCAAAATACTTCCTGAAAAGTCTCTCTCTTTATCCACATAGTGGAGCTAGAATTGATGTTCTATCTTCCTCAGCATGACTCTCTTGAGGAATCCCTTTTTCACATACTGTATATGTTTCTCCCTTCATTTCATGACTTGTAATTGAGGTATCTTCTTATCTTTGACAAAGTTGTTCTGTGCCTTCTCTCTGGAGGGTGAGCGGGGAATGGACCCAAAGAACTCAAATTCAAGGATATGAATCTTCCAGATTGGATTGCTGAACAATGTTTATGTACTCAAGCTCTTGTAGAGTTGATTAGAAATTGTTAGGATGCAAACAAATGATGTTAGTAGCAGAATATTTTTAAAAAGTTTGTGATTTTTTTTAGGGAAACTTTACGGCAATGAAGCTTTTGTGGAAGAACGACATAGGCATCGCTATGAGGTAAGTGACACCTAACCTATTTTTATGGGGGTTTAATTTTTTTAAAATTATCCATATTAAGATAATGACATGTATCACTTCTTAATATAATAGCATTAGGCATAATCTTGAGGCTGGCAATGGGGTCCTTATATACTGGGAGAAGAGTCTAGATTGGGTCATGAGCTCATGCCCTTAATGGCAGCCATAAGCTTGTAACAGGTTGTTGCTGTGATACATGAAGCTGGGCATACTCAGCGTGGTTTTTACTTGGAAGCAGATAGACATGAACTGAACATGGAACACATTGCTATTGGCCCTTTGCCATTGTGAAACTGAGGACTCTGGGTTTCCTGGAACTCTACAAATGGGAAGAACCTTTTAGGATGATGTTGTCCAATCACCTTTTGGATCAGGAAGGTTTCAAGAGGGGATTGGAGTTTTCTCAGCAATTTAGTAGGCAGTTCCAGTTCATATCATAGCATTAAAATGCTGTATGAGACCTTTCTCTTGTTTTCTGAGAATCTATCAGGAGATTAAACAATTGAAAAGTGACATAAAAACAAATAAGAATACAACTGAACATTGGTTCATAAAATAACGTAACATCGATGATTATTAGTTAGAAAACAATGCAAATTTGAGTGAACAAGAAAGCCCGCTGCATAGCATACGAGAGAGAAGGGAATGTGCATCTGTGCCTCATTTCATTATTTTAAAACTATGATTAGGCTATAATGGCCGAATCACTCTGTTGTTTGTTATCAAAAGCTTCCCTTAATAGGAGCTACTAAAAATAATAAAATCTTAGAAGAAAATTGCAGATACTAATCAAATCTTTATTACGGTCATAAGGAGGGTGGAATACAAACAATATTTTTTTTAAAAGCTGAAAATATTAAAACAAAAATTACACATAATTAAAAAAGAATAATACATTTTAAAAAGCTGACATACACCAACAGTCTAAGAAACATGGGGGGACATTAAACAAATACAAGAAAACAAAAATATATGGCTAAATCTATTGCAATATAAAACACTCTTAATTAACAATTTAAATATGCATTAAGGCTCATTTGAGACAACAATCTGATGGATTTTAAGCAGTACTACATATTCCATTATTTTTAAACTATTAGTAAGATATAAAGACTGAATTACTCTGTTATTTGTTACCAAAAGCTTTTCTTAATTAGATCTTTTAAAAATGATAAAGTCCTGCCCAGGATTGGCAACCTATGTTGTCACATGCAGAGAAATATAAAATTGTCCTATGCGTGAATGTCTCTGCAATACAGGCACTGGAGAACAACATGCTCTATTGTTTCTGTATGCCCAAAATCACAGGAGCATTAACTTTCTGGGTAATGAATTTTCTTATTTCGGCCTTCAAGAAGAGCTGAGTGTTGATGTAAAGGTCCTCCAGTTGCTAGATATTTTGAGGTAGGTTAATTATATCAAGGAGAGGCAGACTACCTGTTGGATTCATTGGCAATAAAAGTTGAGGTTCTGCCTACTTGATGCTCTGTATCTGCTATATACTGCTTAATGGGTGCGTTGGCCTGATCCTCAATCCACACCCCAGCATGCTCCCCCTCCCCTTCATTATGGCAGCATTCCAAAGGGAGCTGACATTCTTCCCCCCTAAAAGAAAGGCAGCTCTACCTGGAGAAGATAAAAAATAAAAAAGAGGAGAAAAGAAACAGTGGTTAAGAATCTATTTAGGTTTATCAGGGTACCGGTCATGAAAGTGTTTGACTAATCTAGGGGTTGCACATGGTTTTTTTTTTACACTTGCTCAGGCTGAGCCTGAGCTCAGGGAGATTTTTCCAAGTTACTAGATACTGGGTGACTCCCCAGTGTTTGCGTGAGTCTAGGATTGCCTTAATTTCGAAATGCTGTTCTCTCCACCATAATAGGCTGGGGGACTGGAGGGGGTGCTGGCCTTAAGGACAAAATCACTTCGGGTTTAAGGAGGCTGCAGTGGATTACCGGGTGGACTTTTCTTAATGATTTTGGTAATTCTAATTCTACTGTGACTGGGTTAATAGTTCTCTTTATAAGGAAAGGCCCTATATACTTTGGTCCTAACTTCTTTGAAAGTTGCAAGGACTGTAGGAACTGGGTGGATAGGTATATACAGTCCCCAATGTGGAATGGTTTAGGTTCCACTCTCCTTTTGTCAGCTTGACCTTTGTAAGCCGCCCGGGCGTCTGCCAAGGCGTTTCACACAATGGGCCACATGTTTTTCAGTTGATTAATCCACTCTTTTAGAGAGGGGATCATGGGCTCTTGGGCTGGTAATTCAGGCATTGGGTTAAAATCTTGCTCAGTTGCCACTTGAAATGGCATGAAACATGTGATGTTTCAGCAAATGGCAAGAGGTCTGTCCAGTCGTCTGAACAGTCAAAATTAGGTGCATAAATAGCTTGGTACAAGACTCAAGGGTAAGCTTTCAGATAGGAGCTTTGAATGGTGTAGGAATTCAGGCTTCTTCCCATACTGAGGCAACTGAGAATGGGCAGGAAAAGGGGAAGGGAAGGCTCATGCAGTCACTTCTCCACCAGGAATGTTGGAAATGTAATCATAAACCAGGTACTTTTTATCATATGTGCTGGACATGTGTTAAAGCAAAGAGATATTGGACAAAAATACATACTTGGCTAGAAGAGATGTTGGGGAAACATGTAGATTTTAAACCTGAACTCTTTATATTAGGTATAATGCCAGAAAAACTTGATAAACAAAGTGTATATTTGATTTTGCACGTGATAACAGCGGTACGAATTACATTTGCACAATACTGGAAAAATGAAGAAATACCACCAGAGGAGGAAATAATTTAAAAAATACTAGACTGTGCAGAAATGGACAGACTTACTTTGAGGTTGAAAAAAAAAGAAGAAACAGAATATTTTCAAACTTGGGACTTATTTTACCAATGGTTGGAGAAACGAATTAGGGATTAGGAATTTAATATGTACTAGTGAATAATAAACTCAGACAACACATTTGTTGAATAAGCATTGTTGAATTGTATTAAAAACCAATGTTGTTGTTAGTTGNTCAGGGTTGATCTCCTCTAGGACTGACCGGTTTGATCGCCTTGCAGTCCAGGGGACTCGCAGGAGTCTTCTCCAGCACCATAGTTCAAAGGCCTCAATTGTTTGGCGCTCAGCCTTTCTTATGGTCCAACTTTCACAGCCGTACATTGCAACTGGGAAAACCATGGCCTTGACTATACGTACTTTTGTTAGCAGGGTGATGTCTCTGCTTTTTAGTATGCTGTCTAGATTTGCCATAGCTTTCCTCCCCAGGAGCAAGCGTCTTTTAATTTCTTGGCTGCAGTCCCCATCTGTGGTGATCTTGGAGCCCAGGAAGATAAAATCTGTCACTACCTCCATTTCTTCCCCATCTATTTGCAAGGAATTGAAAGGGCTGGATGCCATGATCTTGGCTTTCTTAATGTTGATTTTCAAGCCAACTTTTGCACTCTCCTTCACCCGCATCAAGAGGCTTTTTAGTTCCTCTTCACTTTCTGCCATTAGAGTGGTATCATCTGCATATCTTAGGTTGTTGATATTTCTCCCGGCAAACTTAATTCCAACTTTTGATTCATCTAGCCCTGCCTTTCTCATGATGTGCTCTGCATATAAGTTAAATAGGCAGGGCGACAGAATACAGCCTTGCTGGACTCCTTTCCCAATTTTGAACCAATCAGTGGTTCCGTGTCCAGTTCTCACTGTTGCTTCTTGACCCGCATATAGGTTTCTCAAGAGACAAATAAGATGGTCTGGTACTCCCATCTCTTTAAGAACTTGCCACAATTTGTTGTGATCCACACAATCAAAGGCTTTAGTGTAGTCAATGAAGCAGAAGTAGATGTTTTTCTGGAACTCCCTAGCTGTCTCCATGATCCAGCGTATGTTGACAATTTGATCTCTAGTTCCTCTGCCTCTTTGAAATGCTGCCTGTACTTCTGGAAGTTCTCGATCCACATACTGCTGGAATCTAGCTTGTTGGATTTTAAGCATAACTTTACTTGCATGTGAAATGAGTGCAATGATGCGATAGTTAGAACATTCTTTGGCATTGCCTTTCTTTGGAATTGGAATGTAAACTGACCTTTTCCAATCCTGTGGCTACTGTTGAGCTTTCCAAATTTGCTGGCAAATTGAGTGTAGCACTTTTACTGCATCGTCTTTTAAGATTTTGAATAGCTCACCTGGAATACTGTCATCTCCACTAGCTTTGTTGTTGCTCAGCTTTCCTAAGGCTCATTTCACTTCACATTCTAGGATGTCTGGCTCGAGGTCAGTGACCACCCCATCGTGGTTATCAGGGACGTTAAGCTCGTATAGTTCTTCTATGTAATTTTGCCACCTCTTCTTAATTTCTTCTGCCTCTGTTAGGTCCCTGCCATTTTGGTCCTTTATCATGCCCATCTTTGCATGAAACGTTCCCTTCATATCTTCAATTTTCTTGAAGAGATCTCTGGTTCTCCCTATTCTATTGTTTTTTTCTATTTCTTTGCATTGTTAATTTAAGAGGGTATTCTTATCTCTTCTAGTTATTCTCTGGAATTCTGCATTCAATTGGGTGTATCTTTCTCTTTCTCCCCTGCCTTTCGCTTCCCTTCTTTTCTCAGCTATTTGCAAAGCTTCCTCAGACAGCCATTTTGCTTTCTTGCATTACTTTTTCTTTGAGATGGTTTTAGTTGCTACCTCTTGTACAATGTTGCAAACCTCCGTTCATAGTTCTTCAGGAACTCTGTCTATCAGATCTAATTCCTTAAATCTATTTGTCACCTCTACTGTATATTCATCAGGGATACGATTTAGTTCATACCTGAGTGGCCTAGTGTTTTTCCCTACTTTCTTCAATTTAAGCCTAAATTTTGCAATGAGAAGCTCATGATCTGAGCCACAGTCAGCTCCTGGTCTTGTTTTTACTGACTGTATAGAGCTTCTCCATCTTTGGCTGCAGAGCACATAGTCAATCTGATTTCTGTGTTGACC